AAGCTGCTATTTTACACTGGTATTCTGTCAGAGTGTGATCCTTCCCCGATCGAGCCGACCCATTCGTGCTACAACTATAACAGTAATATAGCTACAGCATGGCTCTACCACGTAAAATAATTAAGGGTTCTCTTTTTCTATTCTTCTAATTCTCATCGTGAAATTTCAGTTCAGACAAAAATCAGACCCGACAAATTACAGAAAAATAATTTTAATAATTTAAATTGCAATAAGTAAAGTTATTGTTAAAAATGTATCTATAGTTGTCCTAGCGCGTAGTTCTGTTATCACTTATCAGCGTGTCATCGTTCTCTATCTATTAAATTCCACTGCTGAACAAACGTCTCCCAAAAAATTGCCTCAAAAGTTGGATATTTACCATAGTTGCCAGGTTTGGCTGTCGGGTTGGCAAACACGGTATTGATTTAAGACAGTTAATAGAATCAGGCGGTACTTTGCGGAAATCCATTAAAAATACGTTAACCTTAGCTAATTAATTTTTAACATCTTTAGCAGGTTTGATAATTTTGAGTTGTTTTAAAATTGTCTTTAATTACATTTATCCTGTAATTTCTTTAAAATTAGAGAAGGCCTGTAGCTTTAATAAGCCGTGTATTTCGGTGTAAGAATATCCACTACTCCATATTGTCTCGTGGATGTTGTAACAGGCTTCATAGGGAAACAAACCAGGAGATAGGCAACAGCGTCTTCCTAATAACAACTAAAAATAAAAATAAAAATAAAAACTTGTGGTTGCCAACCCGCCTGCCGAACGCGGTAATAAAGGCAAATATGCCCATATGTTCAGCTCTTGGCTCTTGATAGAATGTAATGGTAACGGTGCAACTGTGGGACCAACTGTGGGACGCATATACGATTAATAACTTATCAATACCGTCTAAAAAAGATTTGTCTTGGACGTCAAAATAGGCCGAAATTGCCGACTTCACTTCATCATCGTCGCCAAATTTTTTCCTACGCAGTTCTTTCTTAATTTTTAGAAACAAATAATAGTTGCTTGGGGCCAGTAGCGTGGGTGGCGCAGTTGTTCAAAACCGCACCGGTGAATGGCAGCCGTCGCAACATGGCTTGTGTGCACGGGCGCATTGTCGTGCAAAAAGAGCACGCCTTTTTATGCTTTAACAGCTGACATCTCTTGAAAAATGGCTCAATGTTCAACAATGTTGCAGACACTGCGCCCTCGTAAAAAGTAATCGCTGGTGTAATAAATGTATTATATAAAAAAAGGTTTTTTTTTTTTATTGCAACAGGAATATTTTTTCATTATCTATTTATCTTGTAATAAGTAAATTGCTTTATTTTCAGAAATTAATTATTTTTATATTTATGCACTTAAATGCGAAAAAAATTGCAATATTTATCATAGATCTACAACATTTTAAAAGCTCCCAACTTGCCGTATTATTACTGTAGGTACCTATTTTTTTTTACATTATTTTTCTTGTTAATAATTGTGTTGTTTGTGGAATTCATATATAAAGTTAGTGCCTCTATAGAGTAAATTAATATTGCATGCCTTAAGCGAAGGTAGTTCTGCTAGGACCTAAAATTAAGATTCCAACGTTTTGTCGCATGAAATCGAATCTAGCAATCAATTATACATATAAATGATATAAAAAGTACATTTCAAAAAGATAAATGATTGTTGAACTTTTGATATATTTTTTTAAATCGACTAATTGCTATTTTTACATAAAAAGGGGTTTTAGAGGCTTATGGTGTGGCTTTATCATGTCCTTAGTCTTACGTTAAATTTAAAGAACGTAAAATATAGTCTGTTGTTTTCGCTTTTGATTTCTTGAATTTTGACAACACAATTGCAGGCTCAACGCCTCTTTCTACATCTATTATAAAACATTATTAAAACATATGTCTGTTTTATTGAAATAAATATACAAAGTATAACAAAGTGCCAACAAACTAGTTTTTACTATAATACATTATTTTCCAACAGGAAATAGTCATGACATTTATTTTATCTTATAAATCTCATAAATCGTGGATGCCCTCATTACGTATTTTGAAATTAAATACATTATATTAATTTAAATAATGAAATAAATTATACCTACTTAAATAAATATGCAATATGTACACAGCTGAAATGATGATGTCTCAAAAAACCTTAAAGTCAATGGGGTTGCTATTTCTGGGGAAGTTGTAAGACCTCTGTTACTGTATTTAACCACTCACCAATGAATCTTTTATTAATGTTATAATATATATTACTGATTCTTGACCAAATCTGTATCAATTTTTAAAATTTTCACATCGTAACTTAAAAGAATCGGAGGCATTCCTTATATAATTTTTCGGTATACGATATTTCGAATGCCGTAAAATATCGTCATTGTACTCAATTTCGTCGTAATAATTAATTTTTATTAAAATATTGTCAATCACCATGTGTCTGTCTTCACCAATCACGATGTTAAGTGACGGTTTGCCCTCGCTCAGATTTTAGCATCTCAAGTACACACACTCCAGATATAAGTTTCGTTTATTAATCAGTGCATCACACAGGTGACATCCTAAACTTAAGCCGAATCTTGAGATATGTTAATAATAAGATCATAACCTGAAGATTGTACTCAAGTGCGCATACTTGAGCTGAATATCGTTTACTAAGACGGGCCTAGGACAACTATGAGACATTTCAAATTATTATTCTGTCACTTGTTAGGTTACATATGTGTGTTAATTTGGATATGTTAAGCAGTGGACTTTTGATAGGCTGTGCGGGATTAATGACGAATGAAAAAAATAATCTTTTATTTTACAAAAAAAGAAAAACAGCCTTGAGATAAAAAAGGCAAAGACTACGCTAATTGTCACGTTTTACGCATAAATTATCATCTCTTGAACTCGGTCCATTTGGTTTTATACACTTTCTAACATTACCTAGTATTTACGTTGTATAAGAATTTAGCAAAATTACGAAATTCAATAGTATATGTAAACATATTTATTTAATAAATGTGTTTTGTGTTTTTTTTTATTTCAATTTACTTGATAGGTAGGTACATAATATATTTACAACATGGATGATATGAAAGCAAAAACTGATTTGCTTAGTAAAATTTTAATACTTTATTTTTTTTAAGTACAAGACGTACAATTTAAAAGCAATACTTATTAAAAAAAGGAATAATTATCAATTTCCATCACTTTATTTTCCGTGTAGAAGCAACGTAAGAGAATCCATTACCCCATATTTTCCCGTGGGTGTCGTAAGATGTGACAGAGAGAAACTGAAACAGGAGATAAGTAGCATCTTCCTGATGACACCTCAAAATTATTGAAAAAGTTGCAATCGGCAACCTGCCTGCTTGGCAACTGTGGCAAGTAAGGTACGTTGGGGTAAGATCGGTGATGGGGCAAGACCGTAGGATTCAAATTCCCGGCGAATTGTGCTATATTTTGAAAAGCTAACAATATGCTACACGACGCCATTTCATCCTGCCCCGACCCTCAGTTCGCGCCAGTCACTCCGGCAAGTGGGACCTGTGCTGCGTGGCATTTTATAAAACAATGTAACTTTTGTATTATTTTTGTCCATCCGATCTTTCCCTATCACTTTTATTTACGATTTTTAGCGAGAACATGGCTTCTTTTGTTATTATTTTGTGTGGATACTAATTTTTATGAAGTTATAGCTAAATAAAGCTGGTCCATGCAGGGGTAAGATCGCTGTAGGCCGAGATCCGATGTTTCCCCTCGTGAGTGAAGATCGGATGAATATTATCCGATCTTTGCCTGTTACAAATATGGCAGTGGTTGTGAAACTTTCATTGGTCGTGTATATTTTTTCGTTGATTACTCAAGTGACTATGGGACTCAGTCTCGTTAGCAAGTCTGTATATTTAAAAGTAATAAAACAATATGATGGTTTTATTACTTTTAAGTACACATTAAAATACATTTTTTTATAGGATAAGGGTGACAAAGGAGCACACAGTCCACCTGATGTTAAGTGATTGCTGCGGCCCATAGACATCTATATCTATCCTCTATTACAAATCAAAATGTAATTTATAATAATTATTTAAAAAATAATTTATAATAATAAATGCCGCTTTGTTAAAATATTTAAAAATTATATAAAATATTTAATTAATCTTCCTTAACTCCTGCATTATCCCAGGGCATTTCGCCAGTCCTTACTGTTATTTTTTTCCCATATAAAATCAAATGCATCCGATCTTTCTCTTATATTGAGTAATTCCATCTTATGTCATAACAAAGTTTGAGAAACATAAAATTACAATTTCTTTATATCAGGGATAAGATCGGATGGCAAGAATCAAAAAATGAGAAAATCGTTTGGAACATTTATGTTTCTAGTAATTTATAGATCATATTGAAATATGTTTCTGAGCGTTAAAGATAGGACAAATCTCTTTTATAAACTTTTTTCTCTAAGCAGTAGAAGTGGTTTTAAATTTAAGTCCGGTCTTACCCCTTAATGGCCAATTTTTCATTATGCATATAAAAAAGTATGTCTAGTTTTCGCACACCTTTAAAGCAGAAACCGTTGAGTTTACACAAGCAAAAGATTCTCAGAGCTAAACTACGTTTAACGATTAACGGTTTGCTCCATGTTCCATAAATCTGACGTATACGAATGTCGAGAAATTAAAGTTTTTGGCAGACTCTTCCAACTATTCGAAAATCCGTCCGGTATTACCCCAACGTACCTTATCCCTCGTATGAGGTATTATATGGGAGAGGCCTATTTTCAGCAGTGGACTTTAAACTGTAGTGATTTTAAATATATTATTATTAGTTCAATATAGTAATTTTTTTTCAAAGTTAAAATTATAATTCTAAATATAAATTGCTAAGTAACAGAAAATACAACTTATTACCGCAGCCCTAAAGTATACAGTAGTATAGTTTCAACGGTCGAAACCGCTGAACCGGCCAACCGTGGCCCTCTCGACACTCAATTTGACCCTTATAAACACTATAAAACTTACCGTTAAAACAGGTGAACAGCCACAATAAAGTTGTACACAGATGCGTGAAAGTAGCACGCCTGGCTTCCCGCCGCCGCACCATCTCACCAGAATCATCGAACTTCACTGAACCAATATACCACACCCGTGAGAACACTCAATATAAACGAGCTACGGAACTCGACCCTCGGGCTATTTCGAATGACGTAACAAAAAGTTCAGGTAAATTGTGCGGAAGCAAGACACGTCCGTCCGCGACGCAGTGTCACGTAGAACTAAACTCTATAGTCTAAAGCTCGGGACAGGGTAAAGGCTTACAGCGCAGGACGGGGGAGGTTTGAAATGTTTTAGATCTTCACACAGCCATTTCCCTCCAAGTGCGGGGACCACGTGCCGTGTTCAGTCAATTTTGCTTCTCAATGGCTGATAGAGCTATTTGTATTTTTATTGTCGTTGTTAAATGGTACGTCGTTAGTTGCTTTACTTTGATGCTAATTGCCTGTTCCAGCTAATCGAGTGTCTGTGATTGATGCTTTATAAACTAACAAGATTACCTTTTAGTATTTTAAAGTGTCTAGTTTGTTAACATGAGTTGATAATTTACATTAGTCAGTTATCTTTTGTGAAGGTGTGTAAATTTGTTTCAATGTTCGTTTCACATCATTTCTAAATACCATTACCAAATTAAGTGTACCCATGTGATATGTTCGTTATTATTAAAAAAAAAGTTATGCAGCCCTTGTATTTTTTATGGAATAGGGTGTCAAACGAGCACACAGTCCATCTGATGGTAAGTGGATGTTGTGGCCCATAGACATCTACGTTTATCCTCAATTAAGAATCAAAATGCAGATGCGTTGTTACCTCTGAGGACTAAGATGAAATGCCTCGTTTCCAGTAAAAATAGTCTCCGGTTTTCAACATTCACCATACGAAACACAGCAGCATTAAGCTGCTATTTTACGCTGGAATTCTGTGAGAGCGTGGTCCTACTTCGTTCGAATCGACCCATTCGTGCTACAACCATAGCTGTAGCGTGGCTCTACTATGCAGTGTTTGTCTTCATATTATGTTCCACTATATAAAAAATGTATCAAAGGTTAGGTCTATTAATCTTTTTATCCGTATTATTGAAAATTTTATTTACGACATACACAACAGCCAAATGCCAGCGATGGAGCGAATTTTATAGAGAAATGTATGCGTGTGATGATCTTAGTGAGGGATCCGGGGATGACGCCGTGACTGGTACGCCAGACCCGAACCTCGATGAAATTGAGGTCATCAGTATGAAAAAGATTGAACGTGCGATTCAAAGTTTGAAATGTGGTAAGGCTGCGGGACTAGACAGAGCTACTGCTGAAATGGTCAAGTATGATGGGCATCGCGTCTGGGACAGCTTTCATCTGCTGTGCAATTTGTGCTGGCGGACGGGGGATGTCCCGGATGATTGGCGATCCGCAGTCATTGTGCCTTTATATAAAAGTAAAGGTTCACATTTTGACTGCGGGTGCTATCGGGCGATCAGCTTGACCAGTTTAGCAAGTAAAGTTTACTCGAAGGTTTTGACACGTAGGATGCAAGAGAAATCGGAAAGATTTCTATGGGAGGCACAATGCGGATTTAGACCTGGAAGAGGATGCACGGATCAAATGTTTTCTCTCCGCATGATCACGGAAAAGCTTCTGGCTGCTAACCAGAAGATTTTCTGTGCTTTTGTGGATCTTGAGAAAGCATTTGATAAGGTTGTAAGGAAGAAAATGTGGGAACTGTTACCGGGGTATGGTGTGGATGGTCAATTGCTAAGGGCTGTGCAGTCTCTTTACTGTGACTGTAAAGCCTGTGTGCGGGTAGGGCATGACCTGTCACCCATGTTTAACGTCCAAACGGGCGTAAAGCAGGGTTGTGTCATGTCTTCCTGGCTGTTCATACTGTATCTCGACAGCTGTTTACAGAAGCTGAAAGATAGTTGTTTGGGTGTGAAATTGGGTGACATAAAAGTAAATTGTCTGCTGTATGCTGATGATGCAGTGCTTATTGCACCATCAGAGGCAGAACTGCAGGCATTAGTCACGTGTATGAAAGAGGAATGTGAAATTAAAGGTCTCCGTTTGAATGCTAATAAAACTAAGGTTCTGGTATTTAAAAGGGACGAAGAGAGAACGAAGTGTGGAATATGGGTAAATCAGGAATGTCTAGAACAGGTAAATGAAATTGTATACTTGGGGAGTGCTTTTAGCCGGGATGGAAGATGTGATTTAGATGTGGACAGGCGTGTCGCTGCCGGGAACAAAGTCAATGGTGCCCTGACTGCGTTAGTCAAAAGGCAAGGCGTAGCGAAGAGTGCACGCCTTGCAATACATAACGCAGTGTTGGTACCGACTTTGTTATATGGCAGCAAAACCTGGGTATGCCAGAAGAAGCATAAAAGTAAGTTGAATGCAGTGGAGATGCGATCTCTTCGTAAAATGTGCGGCGTTACCATGGCCGACCGAAAGCGAAACGAAGAGATTCGCAATATGGCAGGTTTAAAAGATGACCTTATCACAAAAATTGAAAAGGGCGTGCTTCGGTGGTTTGGGCACGTTGAGCGAATGAGTTAAGACCGAATGGTGAAGGAAATATATAGCGCGAAAGTTAATATTAAAAGGTGTCGAGGTAGACCGAGACTAACTTTCGAAGACCATGTGAGCAAATTGCTCGAAGAGGGTAGGGTCAAAAGTACTCGGATACTTAGACGTGCATGCATGAAGAAGATAATGAATCTGAAAGAAGCGAAAGAGGTTTGTAAGGATCGTGACACTTGGCGATCTGTTCTCTCTGGCTACCCCGTCAGGGATTGCGCGTGAAGATAAGTATAAGTAAGTATAAGTATAAGTACAACAGCCAAATGTCGAATTAGAATATAAATTTTTAGAGAATGATTTCTAACAAAAACCTTTAAAAGTATAATAAAATTTGTTTGAAAACAGTTTGAATAATGGATTAAAATCCAAGCGGTTGAGATACCTTGTGTCTCTTTGAACTTTTGGATTTTTTGAACGATCTGGGCAGACGACTCAGACAAAGGGGATGTAATCCTCGCTCTGGATCTTTTGTTTTGCAAAGGATATTACTAGCTATTCAACGCAGCAATGCTGTTAGTATTATGGCAACCTTAGAGCAGGAATAATGTGGTGGGTGCTTTGTTTTGTATTTTTATATAATTTAAAATAAAATTTTTGTACACCCTACTTCGATATAAGTTGTTAAGAATAACTCAAAAACTATTGTCAATTTAAGCGTCAGTACCCTAATGGCAGGGCACGGAACGCGAACTCGAAAGGTCGTGGGTTCGTATCCGCCATTCGACTACTGTCGTGAACCACTTCTAACACAAGCATTTTAAGCTTACCAGAAGTGGTTAAAGGGAATATTAGTAATGTTTAATAGCATAACTAGTATTTTTTTTTAAAAAATTGTGCAGACCTTGATCAAATTTATATGGGAGCACACATGAAGCACGAGCTTTCATATAAAAAAAATATTGACGTTGGTTCACTCAGTAAAAGGTTATGAAGTAACACACATAACAAAACATACAGTCGAATTGAGTGCCGTTTCCTTTTTGAAGTAGGTGGGAAACTGAACTGACCAACAAAGTTACAGTTCACCTGATAGTAAGTGGCTACAGTCCATGGACACCTGCAGCCAAATTAAAACAAGGAAGGCTGCAGATGTGTTGTCACTTCTTAGGGTTCTATCTTCCTCATAGCCTGTAATTATACTGGCTCTTGCAACTGGAATACAGCAGTGCAAACACTGCTACTTGGCTGCAGAAATAGATAACCTACCCAGTCTGACAGTCCCTTGGTAAAGCCTACTTTCAATAAAAATGTGTGCACTCCTGGTGTCCTATAAATAAATATAAATTCTTAAATAATTTTAACGAAAAAATGCTTAGTCTAATAAAGCGTGTTGCGTATTGCCTTAATGAATTATAATTTTTTTGCCGAGGCTTGTTTGGGATAAATTGCATCATTTGTACTAAAATCTAAAAATATCAAAGTGAGCGTAGACCAATATTCAAATTTGATTTCATAATGATAACGTACTCAAATACCAAGAGAACTGTATTAAAGTTGTCAGCGATGGCCAAAGTTTTTTGAATCCTTGCTAGGCTCTGATATCGTAAATCTCAGCTGAAATGCATGTGGCGTAAACCCCGTAACAAAGTTTGGGGTTTACTACTAGATTTGCGAACTTTTATGGACATTTGAGACAAACGATTTGTACGTTAAATATTCTGCTGTTATATATTTGTTTGTGTTATCGAACTTTGTTATTTTGTTTAGTTCTCTTTTTTTGTATTCCTATCATGTTACTTATGACAAATCTTATATTTCTCATTTTTTTGGTGTCTTACTTTTAAACTTATTTATTATTGATGATTTTATTCTATTTAAGTCAACCCATATGTAAAGCTTGGGAGCAATGGTAGCAAGTCTATTAAAGTAAACCTAAATGTAAGACGCATGTCCTGGCTTTTCAATTTTAGCAGTCAATATAATGGATTAAAAAAGGATACTTCTTACCACCTAAGGTTTTAAGGCTATAAGGAATAAGTGTCCTCCCCGTGACCATGGGTTCAAGCAGGTAAAGCACCCGAAAAGTCGGGAATTAAAATAGTAAAATTAAACGCGATAAAATCCGTAAAAATAGTTTTATTCAATGTGTAGTGTTCGCGTAAATAAGTGTCTGTCACAATATTAAATTTCTTAGTTATGTGTTATGAAAACATTTCAAATATTGTCATGTTTTACGTATTTATAAAAGGGGTAGTCGTGATGGCAAACGACCATGTGGCTCAACTGATGGTAAGTAACTGTCCTTCATGAGTGGTTGCATCACAAGAATAATCGCAAAAGCGTTGCCCGGCTTTGGAAAAGGTGTTTATTCGTTTCGTATTCAAGCATACAAGCGACAATTCCAGAAAACCGTTACTGTTATAACGTTACAGCCTATCAAAAGTCAACTGCTGAATATAGGCTTCTCCAATAGATTGTATCATTAGATATTTGCCATAGTGGTCACGCTTGGCAGGGCATGTGGCAACCGCAGTTT